TGATGTATGCTCCCCCCGTTATGGACTGAGCTGCTCCCCACCCCCCACCCTGCCTTCCCCATGATGACACACTTAAATGCCTTGAAATGTGGGCTCAAATAAACTTTCCTCCCTTAAGTTTCTTCTGTCAGGTATTTTGTCGAGGCACCAAGAAAAATAACTAATACAACCTCCACCCAACATGGTCTCCATATGGAGCTATCACCCTGTATTTGTGTTATGTACTGAATTGTGTTTTCCTCTGAAATTTGTATGTTGGAATCTGAATCCCCAATATAATACTCCCCCATTGTCCACGGTTTCACTTTCTGAAGTTGCAACTACACAGTCAACTGTAATCTATGACTATTGAGTAGATTATTCCAGGAAACATTTCATTTTTTTTTATGCTTTGAAGAATTATTATTTTTTAATCATTATTTTAAAAATTTTTAATAACAACATGATTAGAAGAAGCATTTCACTAAACCTTTAATATATTCAGTAACACACTTCAGAGCAAGAGTACATCTCTTTCACAAGTGGCTGCAAGTTTCTAGGTTCACAGTTGAGTTAATGCAGTTACACAATATTGAACTCAGTATAAGCCCTGTAAAGACATAAAATTGAATGAGTTTTTTAACCTTTAAAAATTTCATTTTAGAATATATTGTTCCTTGCAGAAAGAATCATTGTTTTTGCTACTAACACTGAGATGTTGGCACATGCATCTCTAATCTGCATGTATCTGATTATTACTAGTCATAATCGGTTGCACTTGGATCCTTGGCGCCTGTGTATGTCTATAAAGTCAATTCAATGGTAGATTTCAATGGTAATGTTTATCACCTCTACTAATTAGCATGACATAAATTTCTATGCTTTCTCCTCAAATATAATATTTTTTTAATTTGTTTTTTTTTTTTTGTGTGTGTGTGTGTGTGTGTGTATCACACAGAATATCCCAAACCATCTTATCCAACTATACACCCACTTGCCCGATGACACCCTCCCATAACCTCCCTGCCCCCACTAGAGCCCTTATACTCTGATATCCCTGCTACTGTCTGCTGTGTTGTCGGCACTCCCAGCCCTTCCCCATTACTTGCCCTTCTGGTGAATCTAGTCAGCCTATCTAGAGGTCTTTGTTTTAGGAGGGTCAGCTGTTCCTCATCTAGCAGCAATCAGTTGTCAATATTCCTTTAGATAAGATTGGGGTCTGCTGTTCATTTTCCCAGTTCTATGCTGGCCAACCAACAACTCAAAAGAAGGTATCACCTGTCTGGCATTCTTGCTTGTTGTATAGCCTTTAGCTATGCATATGGACTCTTAAGAAATTATACTGGCCCCTTTAATCTTTAGTTATACTTTCCTTTCGGGTGTTTAAGGCCATACAGTTGGCCCAGATAAACCAATTTATTTTTACTTTTAAGGTCGTTTGAGGATCTGTTCCTCAGGGGTCACATGGGCTTGGGAGGAGCCTCTGGCTCCTTTCTTTTACCAGTTCCGCCTATGTGAAGTAAGTCAAAGGTCCTGCTCGACCATGGTTGGCTTTGCTTGGAAGCATGGAGGAAATGATTCCTCTGTGTTGACCCTCCTCTTTGTAGAGGAAATACTTAATATATAATGGAGTAAAATCACCAAACCCAGAAACATGAGTTTTAACAAAATTTGTTTAAAAAAATATTCAAGAGCTAGGAAGACAGTTCAGTCAGTAAATGCCTGCTGTTCAATCATGAGGGCCTGAGTTGGGATCCCTAGCACACACATTTTAAAAAATCAGGCATGGACACATGTGTCTGTAACTCTAGTGCAGTCGGGGGGAGAGACAAGTGGATCCCCAGAGCTCACTAGCCAACCAAGCTAGCCAATTGGTGAGCACCAGAATCAGTGAGAGACCATCTCAAAAGATAAGGTAAAGAACACTGACAACCAGCCTCCACACACAGATGACACACACACACACACACACACACACACACACACACATATACACACACTCACACACCTACCTCCAATCCAGGCCTGGTAGCACAGGCATGTAATGCCAGTTAGTTATTCAGGAGACTGACACAGAAGAGCCAAAAACTCAAAGCAAGCCTGGGCAATTTATGGAGACCCTGTCTCAAAATATCAAGTTTTATAAGGGATGGGGGCACAGTTCAGTGGTAAAGTGCTTGTCTAGTATGCATGGGGTTTTAGGGTAAACCTACATCACATACGCATAATACATCCAGTTCAAACTCCAAAACTGAAGAAAAAGAAAAATATCTATCTACAATCAACATGTTCATTTAAATTGTCTGATGCCTTAGGGGTATAGACTACACTTACAAAATATATAATATGTAATCTGTCATATATTTAAGTTACAAGTTATATAGTGGGGAAAACTCTGTTCTGCTTCAAAACCTGTCTTGTTCCACAGCTTTCCCTTTCCCTGCTAACCCAGCTTTGCCATGGTACCCAGCAATTTCCTATCAATAACCTCTTGAGTCTCCATCCTGTCTCAGTAAGTAACTCCTAGCATCACTGGCTTATTTTACCTTCCTCACAGTCATGAGAATGAAGTAGGATTTCACTCTTGCACACATGGGCTTTCTTCAGTCTTTCATTTCCTTCATGCATCCTTGTCTAGGAAAGGGAACACGGGTTGACATCCACACTGCTACTTCCCAACTACTGGTCCTCCAACCCCAAATCATCCTCTTCAGGGGCTTCAACCATCTCACTACACCAGTATTTTCCACTCCTATCACAAACACCTCCATCTAACAATAGCACCTCATCCTCACATGCTCACTTACATCTCTCTTCTTCCTTCCTTCCTCCCTCCCCGCCTCCTTATTCCATTGAGGTCTTGTTTCTACTCAGCTAGACTGCAGACCCTTGATTCCCCCTTCATTCCCTAACTCCCTAACCAAGGAGTTACTGAAGACAGATAGTGCTGCCTTGGCTCAGAGAGCTTCCATCCAGTTCCCACTCCATAAAGCAGCTTTTAAAACTTTCAACACATATCTTAAAGCCCCTTAACCAACTCCAATTGTTTTCTCAATTTAAAAAAAAAATCTCTTGGTTCATGAAAACCAGCAACATCATATTAAGATAGTACCCTCCCACCCCTCAACCTATCTCTGAGGGAGGGCATCCTTACACCCTAGCCAACCAAGCTAGCCAATTGGTGACTACCAATTGGTGATCTGTTCCTCAATCAGAAGCAGCAGTGACTCTCCCTCTTTTGAGAATCATTGTCTCCTCCTATCATCTATCAATCAATTACTTCCTATTTCAAATTCTAACTCCACCCCTTCCTATGCCAACCCTCATTTGAACCTTTCATTTGCCAGTCTACTCTCAACTTTATCAGCATCTTCCTCCCTGGAAATGGCTTCATCTCTTTCAGAGTTTCCCTATGATCCACTAGTTGTCAAATCCAAGTTGCTATCTTCAGTTTGCATGCTATCTGACATCTTCACAGCATCTCACACTTCCCGTAG